TGTCCTCAGTTCTTCCATGGTCTTTCCACAGAGTTCCCTGATTCCTCAATCCATGTCATCCTGGGTCTTCCTCTATGCCTACTACCTTCCACTTTTCAAAGCATCATCGATTTTTCTAGACTGTTGTCGGCTCGCATGATATGACCAAAGTACTTTAGTCTTAATTTGCAGATCGTGGCCTCAGGGGAACAGTCAGGCTTAATCTGCTCAAGAACTGATTCATTTGTTCTCTTGGCAGTCCATGGTACTCTTAAAAGTTGCCTCCAAGTCCAAAGCTCAAATGCATCAATTTTTCTTCTTATTCACCACCATGAGAATATGAACACACACAGGAGGATAAAAGTTATCATGGCACGGTGACATAGTTTAACATTTCAGAGGTTCTTTCTGCACCAATCACCAGGGCACTCATCACCCTGATGATGGAGGCAGCAAGGACCACTGAAATGGCAGTAAAATGCTACCAGACTACATTATGCAACAACCCAGAAGGCAGTTCAGTTACCATTGAGTCGGGGCCGGCCCCTAGTGACATTATGAACAAAATCCCTCCATCCTCTTCTGTCTCTAGTAACTGTCCTCAGTTCTTCCATGGTCTTTCCACAGAGTTCCCTGATTCCATCAATCCATCTCATCCTGGGTCTTCCTCTGAGCCTACTACCTTCCACTTTTCCAAGCATTATCGATATTTCTAGACTGTTGTCGGCTCGCATGATATGACCAAAGTACTTTAGTCTTAATTTCCAGATCTTGGCCTCAAGGGAACAGTCAGGTTTAATCTGCTCCAGAACTGATCCATTTGTTCTCTTGGCAGTCCATGCCACTCCTAAAAGTCGTCTCAAGTCCAAAGCTCAGATGTATCAATTTTTCTTCTTTCCATCTTTCTCATTGTCCATCTTTCACATCTATAAGTTACTACAGGGAAGACCATCGCTTTGATGATTTTTGTTTTTAGTGTAATGTCATTATCTTTAACAATATTTCCCAGATTTGTCATTGCTCTTTTCCCCAAAATTATGAAGGCAGTAAATACCTCTGAAACGTCGGTCAATTTCTACTAGACTACACGGTGTAAATTCAAAGAAAAGTCTCCCAGAGTGTTATTTCTGAGGACATACTTTTTCTTCTATCGCTTGTGCCCTCTCGGACAGACATGGGTTTATTGAATGCACTTTCCAAACCTGCTCTAATAACGAGCTTAGTGACGGTTCACCTGCCTGTCTTCTTACGTTTCACCACCATGAGAATATGAACACACACAGGAGGATAAAAGTTATCATGGCACGGTGACATGATTAACAAAATTTTACTTTTGCCAGTTGCAAGAATGCATTTGTGTTACATTTTAATTGCAGCATCATCTGTGATGATGCATCAGTCTTTGAGGAGGATCGTGGGTAACCACATCATCATGACAGATAGTCCTCCCACCTTACAAGTTCTGAGCATCTCCCATATTGGCACTGGAAGATTTTGGAGTATCCTTCAATAGCATAACTAACTAACTAACTAGATGGCTCACCGAACCCGAAGGTTCATCACTGAACCAACCAAAGCCCTCCACCGGACCCTGTCCTGGGCCAACAAAATCCAGTCTCCTTCAACTCCTATCTCCCATAGATCCCGCCTGAGATTATCCTCCCATCTACGTCTAGGTCTCCAAAGCGATCTGTTCCCCTCAGGCTTCCCAAATAGTGGACCCAACCAACCAGATGGCTTACGGAACCCGAAGGTTCATCACCGAATTAACCAAAGCCCTCCACCGGACCCTGTCCTGGGCCAACAAAATCCAGTCTCCTTCAACCCCTATCTCCAGCATAACTTCCATACCAAATTTCACACAATTGCATTGAGGTTTTTTCAAGTTGCTTTTGCATATGGATGGATAAAGCAACTTCAATGCGCACTCCGCATGTGCTTGTGGATGTGAATGCCAAAGAGACTACCTAGAACAGGAAGGAAAACTAGAGATGAAACAGTTAAGACTTACCTCTTCAAATTTTTTGCAGATAAGTGTGAATGCCTTGAAAATGGCATTCGTTGGTCCTGTGACTGTGACGATACGTTCAGGGCAAGAGCCATCAGAGATGTTGATTTTGGCACCTGACTGCAAGCAAAAATTGCAACATTAAAACCTATTTATCAATGTCTAGAAATATACTTCAACAGCTATTAAACCAAAATTCAGACATGATTTCCTGCATATCAAGAATGAGGTGGGAACAATGTGACAAATGTTGAATTAGAGCTTTTTTATATATATATACTTCTAATTAAAGTATCCATCTATTTATTCCAGTGGCTGCACACTCTAAAACATAAAAATAGCATATGAATGCTTTTCAATACAAGAATTTTTTAAATTTAAACATGGCACCTTTTTACTTTATTTGGCCTGCAAAGCCTACTATTGTGGCGAGGGATGTTTGGCAGAGTTATAAACTCTGAATTGCATATTACAGAATTTTTCTGAAAACAGTAACGCTGAAGGATTGTGCATAGTGTTGGGTTGCTTTAGAGAAAATTATGCCAACTACTATTGCAAACTGCTGGAAAAAAAGTGTATTGTAAAAGATGACATCTCAGTAGACAAGATGATGTTCATTATATTTAAAAAAACAAGGCATAAAGGCTGCGTGTGATCCACTAGGTACTAATTTACATGCAGAAGACCTGGCATTTTGGATTGACGTAGATGAAGAAACTTCGGTCATACAGGATTTTAATAACAAGGACAATACAGCTTCCGTGACAAATACTGAGACAACTTACAATCTTGAAGCCACTGAAACAGGAACTGAATCAGCAGAAAATGGTAATGATTCCTAAGAAGCGGTGGTACCGAAAGTGAGAAAATATTAATTAGGTGCCAAAGTGGTTAGAAGAACAAACTGATATTGAACACCTTCATTGGCTAAATCCGGTTAATATTAAGCTACATGTTCTAAAAAAAAATGGAATTCTGACAAAGTACAATACATGACTATTCCCGTAAGAGGCATAAATGTAGGCAATTTTAGTGGTCTGTGCCAGTAGCAGTGTAAATATATATAATACCACAGATTCCAAAATTAGATAAATGCCAATTTCACTTACAATGTAGGTACTGAAGCTGCCCCCCCCCTCCAACACCAGCATTATACTGTGTAAATACGCATAAGAAGTGATATTAAAATAATGAAAATTTCAAGACTATTGTTTATGGTTTTAATGTGACTCCAAGAAGTATGTAACTTAAGTAACAGCATTAGAAAATTTGAATTATCATCCTCATCAAGCATAACACTGATGTAAACAAAGAGGAGATGAAATCACCTTCTGCACACCACAATGGAGGGGGGGGGGATGTGCATCTGTCGACCTGGAGCAAATTCATTGGAAATAGTACCATTATTTAATAACCATTTCTCAGTATTACACTGGCTAGCGAACTATAAAGGCCACTGTATTGTTTGTTATATTTATGAATTAATTAATCTCTTCCATAAATAAATTTTAATCATCCTGGACAAAAGAGATTATATAAATTGAAAATGAAGCAACGCAGTGTTCCAAAATATTGTGTGTGTAAAGCACGCACAAGTTCCTCTCTACCAATCACACAGCAACGCTAGAGGCAAGTTCTCCATCACTCCGTTCAAATCAGATCGTGCTTGGATGTGAGAAAGTACTGCAGGTCCAGGTACAATGCACATGTGATAAAAACAGAGGAGAGGAAGCTAATAAGGTGCTTTGCCTGCTGGAGTATGGGTCAAATTACCCATAACTGTAAAAGTAGGATCAAAGCAGATGCAGAAGAACAGGTCAACAGGCAATGTGAGCAGTCAGCTGGAGAATTCAGTGGGTTGCACTAGCATAAGCACATTACACAGTGTTTTAAAGGAAGGAAGAGAACCTAAGTTAATATTTCTTACTGATATGGGGGCACATATATCAGCATAAATAAACCCAGTTTACAGCATGAACTAAAGTACGACATTTTTAACAAACTGAAGGATTAATGGGATTTCAACAGTCACTTTTCAGACACTGGGTTCCATCGAGCCATACATATAAATGCAAGAAATGTATATTAGACATATATTTCAGGCCATCAGCGATTGTACCGGATGGGGCAACGTTCATTCATAGTTTTGACTTTCGTAGTACTCTGGCACCACCAAGGATGGGATGAAACAAAATGCGCTACAGCTGTGCACCATGCATTCACCACAGAAACATTAAAAAAAATTATGACTCCATGTCCAGATACTTCTTTGACAAGACTTCAACAGTAATTGTAGCAAAGGCAGAATTAGTGCCAGGGGCCTAAATGTCAAGAGTCTAGATGAAATCAGTAAACAGCCACTGTACAATCAGAGTTCCCAAAATATCAGACATGTAGATTACCATGCAAGCACCTAAGGTACAATTAGAGCCACACAAATGTAATATGGGTAGCATTATTATTATTATTATTATTATTATTATTATTATTATTATTATTATTATTATTATTATTATTATTATTATTATTATTATTATTATTATTATTATTATTATTATTATTATTATTATTATTATTATTATTATTATTATTTAGTGTTCAGTCTGACGACAGGTCCATATGAACAAGATCCTTCCATCCTTTTCTCGGACTGGGACCTGTTCATATACGTTCTTGGCAGATGATCAAGAAGTGGTTTGCCATTGCCTTCTTCTGTGTGTGAATGGAGTAATTGTTGGGATGCCACGGAGGAAAACTCCGTGTTGCCTAGACCACGGCCTTGCCCAACACAAGTTATAAATTCGGGTACCGCCGGGAATCGAACCCAAGACCCCAGGATTACAAGGCCAGCGTTCTAACTGCTAGACCACCGTATAGGTAGCATAAGGATATGTAAATTTTCAGTAAGAATGCCAAATCTGAGACAGCAAAGTAATTGGTCCAGTAAATAAAACTAATTCGCTTAAATGGAGAGATAAAGAAAGAATTATTAAATCTATTTATCAGGTACACTCAGCGCAACAAAAGGCAAGGACTTCAAAGTTTATAAATTCCAAACTGTAAGTGATAAAACTGTACAACTGATGACATAATTACAGCCACTAATTTGTAATCTCCTCATATTTGTCCATGTGTAGCTTATCTCTACCATCCCTTTATTATTATTTATTCCACTATACAAATACAATAACATGTCTGCTTAATGTGAATTACTGTTACTGACTTTTCAAGTCATGTCAGCAGATTTGACAGTGTGAATTACTGTTACCGAGTTTTCAAGTCATGTCAGCAGATTTGACAACAAAATGAAGGTGTATTTGTACATTCACTCATTTAAACTGTGCAGTTGTTGTTATTCAACTATATGTTTCACAACTTCGACGTGTAACTCAAAACACGAGCAAATGGATATGGATATCAAAATATGTAGACTGTGATACTTGAAAGACAACGCACAATATCTGTTGCCTGTAAAGCCTTCACGGCCATTAACCTTGCATTAAGCAGCCAAAAGTATTACTCACATTAGCACCGTAATTATTTGCGATGCACCGGTGAGACTAGAAATGTGAAAGAAGCAGATTTTTATTTTATTTTACCATAATTTCCTGCTCAAAGGTTCTACGATCAAATATCACTGAAGACAATTTTATTTGCAAGAAGTACTTTACAAGAATCCTTGTTTCATAAAGTACCAAGATCAATATATTTGTCCTTCAATGGGCTGTTTTCAAGACTTGGCATTGCTAATAACAAGTACAGAATCCCTGAGCTTCAACCACGGCTAGTATTTGCCTTGTCGCGTTCTCAATTACATATTCAACGCAACTTTTCTGTTCACCGACCTTATATCAAATTCATTGTGGGTTTATTTTGATCTTTAAATGGATATCGGTATGGTTCATTGATTCAGAGACTCTTGGTTCGCTAGTAGTACTCTCGTTTCTTTTGTTTGAAGTGTGGTAGCAAATTATATATATCTTCTAGAAGGCGACCCCACCGACTGAGAGGAGCTTACAATTAGGTTCCAGTTTTATAGTTTAGCAGGGAACCCTATTCTAACTTTCTAGCTACAACAGTATGTTGATATCAAATCTAAAACTTCTTGACGATGGTGAAGAGTCAATTGAATAAAAATTTTTTTTGGATATTATCCATCGTCTAGTAAATATAAAACGTAAAACGACGTTTCGGAGATGATACTTCACTGTCTCTTTCTTTGACACAGAATTTTATTTTCCCCTTTCTTCACTGTCAGTTCGCAGTCTCATAAACGTACCTGCACTTACATTGTCAGTGACAGTTCAGTTGATTGAGATAAAAGCAAGAGCAAAATAAAAAAGTACAAAAATTTAATTAAATAAAAAAAATTTGTGGGGCTCCAAAACCAATACCACACGGAAATTAAACTATACAAACTATCACATTTAAGGAAGAGAAAATATTATGAATAAACACTTTAACCATACCTCTTCACGAAATCTTTTCACAATTTCACCCTTTTTGCCGATGATACTGCCAACTTCCTGCAAAGAACAAATAACATATTAAGAAACATACACAAAGCAAGATAATCACAATAGGAAGACAGGAACAAAGTTACTCTCTATTGTCCACGTGATCAGAAAATGCTGCAATGCACATCAATAACCTGTGTCCGCCTGAAAACAAAGACGATCTCCTTGCCATATTCACATACAGCTAAATGCAATGTGAACATAATTGTTAAATATCAGCAACCCGGGCAAAAGATGGGCACACAAATGCTGCAAATTTAATTTGTCATACAAGAATAATGAATTTTAAACCCCCAACTCCATGGGACTGTTAGCCAGACTTCAAGAAACATAGTCACAACCAGCTATAAACCAGTCATCAACATTTTTTAACTCTGGAGTTGTCAATGTAGGGGGTATGCTACTGTGATGCGCTGTCAACTAGACTATGAATAAGCTGTGACACATGGTTCCTAAAGATTAACTTCAACCAAGGATTTGACGTTAAACATGCAATACACTCACATCTGTTGATTAGAATGTTTGTCTGCAATGCAAATTGACTTCTTATGTGCCATTTATTGTTAGAATTGTGAAATAAACATCTTCACATTATTGACTGTGGTGTTCTGGATTATGCCATGCTACCTTGTAAGAGATTGTATTGGAATGCTGGCAAACACAAAGTCACAATGCAAAGACCATTATCAGCATATTCACTGCTTTGAGAACCTCAACTCAGACAAATCTTCAAACTGTTTCTGCCACCAAACTATTAATTTTCAGTGGACTAGAATGCCAATACCCCACTTAGTGGTACCTGCACCTTGTCGAGGTGGTCGGGCTTGAGTACCTCAGTGACCCCAAGAGCTATGCTGCCGGTAGCATAGCTACTGGTAGGGCCTCCCTAGCCAGATTGGTCGAGGGGGAGAGGTCAGACTAAGAGAGGTACCCTGGTCCTCCAGGTTGGGGGTTGGTCGCAAGGCTAACGACCTTGCACCGTAAAAAGGAAGATGTTTCGAAACCTCAATCAAAGCCTCGGACAGACAGACCTAACAGAGGACCGAATGGAAGAGGAGAATTGAGGAGGCCGTGAACCGAATACGGACCGGAGAGCCATAGAAAAAGAATGACAATATTAACCACTTTCACACTCCAGATATAAAACAGAGCTTATTTAGTTTGTTTGTGTGCAAGTCATAAAAATTAACCTCCATGACAATCAAATTTTAATCAATATTCTATGATAAATTTGGAAAAAATTTAAGCAAACTATAATTTTAAAATAATGATAGACACGTAAGTACTTGTAGCAGTTACCTCACACTCTACACTATGATAAAAACAATAATGTTTACAGCAATTTGAAATCAGTAAAGGTATGTAAATATCATGACAGCAATCTGCTAAACTGAAGAGGAATTTGGAGACTTTAAAAACACTTCGTGCTATTAAAGTATTACATGCATAAACGTGTGAATATAAAATGCTCTCGTATAATAGCTCCTGAAATAAATTAATAACATGACACACTCTTAGTTTTTATATAGGACCATGTTAATAATATCAACTAGTAAATAACAAATTGCTGATAGAAGACTGAATAACTGAAAGCCTTTGGAAATCAAAATCACTGAGCGGACAATGCAACGCAAGCAGACTCTGCAAGGTACAAACATTTTTTCTAGCAAGATCTGGTTACCTGGGACAAGATATCTTGGCCGGACAAGAAACCACATAGTAAAAGCACTTATGTGACCCAGTACAATCAGATTATGAACTTATTGTACCTGTACAATGCATAATTTTGCTGAACCTTGTCAGCATGCCCAATGTTCTTTTGTTCTCTATGGAATGTGTTGGCACGGAATGTTCCAGATTGACCTGACCCTAGCTGAGTTATATTTAGTGCTGCAGTAGGTAGAATAAGTTGGCTGTTGTTTTAAATTAGACCAACTCCTGCACAGCGACAAACACCCAACAACATGCTGTTACAGATGCACTACCAAATGTGATCAAAATAAAAGGCATTAACTAAAAATGTACGTTACTTACAATCAGTTCCCACTAAAGGTAATCTATTTAGTAAAGATGAAAATATAAAGAAGATATGAAATGCTAACATATACACTTCAGGTGATCAACAAACTCTAGTTTAAATGTAACGAAAAGTACATCATGTTCAAATTACAGACTCTGCAACTATCAAGTGATAAAAGTACAACACAGAGCCTCCTACAACTTGAGCATCAAGCCACGGCCTTTTATAAGAAAGTAAACTGTAAATGTATCAGACTATTTACAAAATACTAATACTCTGAATATAATGTCCGACAACATTCAGTATAAAACAGTGAACAACTACTGGCCAAACCGCATCCACAGAGAAGCATAAAGATGGACAGTCACAAAGGGTACAATTACATGGCTTGATTGCATTTATAAGCACCCACAGAAAAATACCCAAGAAGAGGGTAGAAAAGATGAGAACAGTGGGTAAGGAAAGCCCTCACACAGGATTAAGAACACGGCAGAGGGAGCTGTAAGATGACAGAGATACGTAGAGACATGAGGTGGAAACAAACAGCATGTCTCATCTACTAGATTATGATGATTAATTCCAATCCTAAAATCCCACTCCTTGGTTCGACACAACACACTATACAATGACCAAAACTTTTACCTTCAAAATGTCCAGGTTTCATAACAACAAATTCAAAAAGGTCTTTGTGTGTCTTAACAGAATTAATGTTTTCCAGAAACATTTTGAGGAATTAACGTGAAAGTTTCTAGGACATAACAGATCAAAATTGGGTGCAAGGGATCTGTTACACCTGCCAATTACAAATTATTTAATATGTTTTTGCATACAAATAAATGGGCATTAATACATACTCCACTGAATCCCAAGGACTTCTTTCCAGATTTGCTTTAGTTGGATGAAACAGATGTTTACATGAACTTAAAGGTATCAAACTTGCTTTTCAGACACAGCTTGAGAACAAAACAAAAGTCAGCAATTGAAATATCTCGTGTAGTCATAAAACGTTAATTACACCCAGCAGTCCCTAAAAGAACCGGTATGTTGCTCTGATAGATCTCTGTTGTCTTACTACCAACTCTTAAGGCCATGGCTGACAGCCAACAGACTGCGAGAACACTGCCAAAAGCCATCCTCATTATGGGATGAGCGGTACAAGTCGAGCAGAGGGGGAAAAAATCATTCAATGCTGGCAACATCAAACAGATAGCATTTTTTGACTCCACATTTGCGCATCTGACATTAGTGAAAGACACTCGACCAATTAGAAAAATTAAACCAACACATTTGTTAAACTCACCCAGAACGTCAATAAATAATGACCTAATTCTCATACTGACACGTAACCCAAAATAACCATCTTTACATATATCTAGTGTTTCTCTCAAAATAATTTTCAAATCCAGTGCATACGGCGAGTGTCACAGAACAGTGTAAGAGAGTTCAAGGATATGGTCATTACTTTCCTCGCTTCTAAATCATCACTCCATCGCTTATGTTAACATGATCAGTTACTTGGCAACTAACACGCATAATAAAATATACAACTTGATTAAAATCAGTGGACTAATACACTACGACACACAAAGCCGGGTATGAGGTCTGATCAGATATTTTCTGGACTGTATGCACACTGTAGCACAACACCTTTCATTATCACCTGGCCACTCAGATTTTCAACGGTGCATGAAATGCTTTCTACGAGAATTACACAAGTTGTGAAGACAGAGAATGGAGAATAAGGAAAAGTATACAATATTGCTCCATTAAGGACATCTGAAATCACGCACATCCTCGACGCAAGTTATTCACACTTGAGACATTTGAAATCATGCCCATCCTCGACGCAAGTTATTCACACTTGACAGGGATTTGCAACACAGGAAAAACCAAACATATCAAAAATATCTCACACCTGACTTAAATATAGCCTAAAGCTGCTAACAAATACCAACAACTAAAATCACAAAATCATTCTATAGAAGCTAATAGTCACTCAACTAATCAAGAAAATCGCACATATATCTTCACTACATGCCGTAGGTCCGTAAGTTATCCAGATGGTGATAAGACGCACAATACAACAGATATATAAAAGAACAATTATAAAGATTTCACACAATATAAGCAGAAATTCCAAATGAAGAAGTGATATTTTACATTAAATCCACCTATTTCATGCAGTGCCTAAGTTATACTACCCGACAAGAAAACCTTAAAACATTATGACCTGATTGTAAAAATTAGAAATTAAAAAAAACAGAGGAAAGGAATCTTCGATGCCATTTTATTTATAAGACTTGTGAGACTAGACTGTAGACAAAAGTTCAAAATTGATTCCAGCACAACACGCGCTCTTCTGAAAACATGGGAGGTCAGAAATTGGTCTATGAAGCTGATTCTCATTCCTTGTGCTGACAATGTGAATAGCAGAATTGGCTTGAAAATGTTCTTTGTCATTTACGATGAAAATATAAGAATATGTATTCACACGGAAGAGCCGAGATCTCTAAAAAGATTTCTGAATGAATTTCTACGTTTGACACCAGCCATTAAAAATCCAATAATTTTCTCTTGTAAAACGAATTATCTGTTTGCTGTAAGATAAATTACCCCCACAAACTATTCCATACTTCATTATGGACTTAAAATAGGCAAAATAAACTGATTTGAATGAGCCAGTGTTGCTGACATGCGTAACTGCGTGACATGTTCCACTTAACAGTTTATCAATTTGATTTGTGCGATTTTGAGTTGTGTGGCTTTTATGAAACCTGAAGGTCAGTTACTGTGCTCACAAGAGCCCCACCACCACTGGTCTGTATCTGGAACCAGAGGAGTCCAGCCCACACCTACTCATCTTATTTCCATATCATACTTGCCTTCAGACTTACAGACTAAAATTTTGTATGCATTAGTTATCTCCTCCATGCATACTATACACCCACTAATTCTCACTTTTCAATCTGACCATCCTAATAATATTTAGTGAAGAATATATCTTATGGCATTTCTCATTGTCATTTTATCAATCATCCAGCTATTTCATATATTTTAGTTCCAAACGTTCTTCCCAGTAATCTGCGCTCAGACAATCGTTATGTGAGAGGCGATGTTACATGCACGCACATAGATTCGACACTATATAGTCCGAGCTACTGAAAGTGTCATTAAATAAACTATAAAAAAAAAAACACGCACACAGGAGAGCAAAGTGGGTGGGGGGGAAGAACTATATTTCTGTATCAAATGGTAGCAAGCATTCCCCAAATTTAACTTCCTGATTAATAAAGTTTTGATTTGTCACATCTTTGCAAGATGTATATACATTTTGATTTTGTCCTGCACTCTGGTGACAACAAAGTATGAATTTTCACTGTGTTTATCTGAACAAACTCTTTACAAACAAGTAATGAAGTTTCTGTATTTCTTTTGCACAATAAATTAACACCATCAGCACTGACCAGAATCTAATGTGTCCCATTCAATTCCAGTCTCTTCAGATTTGTGCCTAAACACAATGAGACTGAAATAATGGCCAAACTTAACAATTTTTACTTCAGAAAAGTACACCAGAAAATGCTTACTATAAATATAAATCACAAAGTGCAGCAATGCAAACCAACATTGGAAAATGATGTCGGACTACGTACTATTTACTGTTTAATTATTGTTCTTAGACACATTTAATGAGATAGCGTTAAGCAGTTTGCAGTGTGGGGAACATCTTAGGAACTTGGGTACTCCAAAGAGTACATCTTTCCAGTCTTGTTAGTTAATGTTAAATGACGGGAACCAGCACAGCAATGTCAGTGACATGTGAACTTGTTTGTAATCTTAACAATAAAAATTTCAGCCCTAAAGATGGAAACAGTACACTCCTCTGGAACTAATATCTACTCCACAAGTCCACATGGTGCCACAATCAAAGAGGTCCGACACCGACATCTTTACCACTTTGAAAGCCTTGGATCTCATGAGGTAACATGTCTGCACAAAACCATGCAAAAACAGAGAAACCTAACAAATACGACGAAACCTTTCAATGACAAAGTTGCATTGGTATCCGGAAGGAGGAGGAAAATCCACATTAGGCCGTATGCAAGCAATAATGCAACTGACGCGAATGTAAAATCACCATTACCTACATCTGAAAAGCAGCACATAGCCAAAAAATTGTTTCTGTATATTCCAGTAATTAAAATGTGTGTATTTAACATGTTTCAGATTTTGGTGTCAAACAACTGTGTGCAACAAGCAACTGAACTTCAGCAATGAATGTGTTTTTTTTAAGCGGGTCAACACCCAACTATTCCTGTAAAATTAATCTTCACAGATACAATTTTAATTATGTTAAATTAACCTCCATTAACCACTGTTGAATAGATCGGAAGTAATAGGAAGTCTATGTTCATGATAAACCACATGATGCCTATCAAATCTAAAACTTCTTGACGATGGTGAAGAATCAATTGAATAAAAATTTCCTTCGATACGGATTAGCTCTATCTAGTGGGCCCAACTGTGTAGGAACCTGAAGACGGAGATAGAGTCCCATCTCCGAAACGTCGTTTTTTTTACGTTTTATATTTACTAGACGATGGAAGGTCCGGAGATAGGGATTAGCTCTATCTAGTGGGCCCAACTGTGTAGGAACCTGAAGACGGAGATAGAGTCCCATCTCCGAAACGT